CTGGTTTACAAGTCATTTCTCCTACCAATTCATTGCTGATCCCCAAGTTAATTAAAAATCATGACTCTCTACGGCCGTGACAAATCTCCACCAATATAATGAAGATGCATGTTTTGTTTTCCAAGCCCACACGAAAGAGCAAAATAATAATTAAACAGAAGTTATTTCTTTTAGTTAGGAAACATGAGAAACCTAGTTATTATGCCCTTGCAAATACAGTGACTACGCTAGTATTTAGGAGAAAAGGAGACATTGTTTAAATGGACTTAAGTTATATGTACTATAAATTTATCTAACGTTTTACATTATAAATTTGGATTAACTAATTATGATCGATTACTTACCTTCATTTTGTGGTAATAGATTTATGCTTACTAACAAAAATTAAATTTTTACGCTAGCCATTGGTAGGAATTATGTGTTGCAACGGATCAGAATTCAATTAACTTTTACAAGAAACACAAATTTATAGGCAATCCAATCCAGGTATCCAACTCATAATGCAAGTTTCACTTGGTAATAATTTGAATATTCTATTTTATCGGATGTCCCCGCAGGGACTAATAATTTGATTATTCTAATATAACGAATATGATAAAGTAACAAATTATGATTGTAAGCTGCAGAGGGAGTTGTCATAACCCAAATCAAGAAAAAGCGAAAGAGAGAAAGTCGCTGCAACAATCAAAATTCACAAACACACCTTGAGGTTTAAATTAAGAACAATTTCTTTACATCATAATTAATTACATAATTTCTTCTTGTCCTTTTTGTTTACTCTGAGAGAAAAGGTACTAAGTACTAACACAGGTTAAATTAAGAAGAATATGCGAACTTGTGTTCCTAAATATCCATGCAAAATTACTAACAGGATGTTATGTGAACTAATGCTACGACTTGAAAAAAGGATAATATTTGAGCAAAATTCTCTATTTAGACAGAATTAAAACTTGTTCTCCCCGAATGAAGGGTGAAAACTTTTTAGGAAAGAATTCAAACTATCATATTCTCTTATTAATTAGTTGAAAATAATAAAAAGTGAACGAAGCGGTGAAGGTGGGGAAAAAATTCTATTAACTTTTTTCTGTTGTAAAATAAGAGAAAAGAAAATTAAATTCTCGAGAATATAATGGGAGAAAAACCTCATATTTATGGAATAAGAATACCTTATTCCCCATCCCCGTTTGACCTAGAATTTAGATTTAGCTTTAAACAATTATATTTTTTAGTAAAACAAAGTCAATCTTAGTCAATATTAATGTCCGAAAAATGTGTTAACCGATTGTGGGGGAAGATAGTGCGGGTATAATCCATGTAGCAATAAATGACGGCACTTCAAAAAATGAAGAAGGTAGCGTTAAATAACAATAAATGACATTTAAGTAAATAAAACATGTGAGTCACCCAAAAGGATGAGATTCTTTAGTATTCTTTCTAACAATGATGAATGACTGATAAACCTTTGAATATTCAGATTTTTTTTTGATAGTGGAAAACAAGCTAGACAAGAATCTCAAGAAAATCGTATATTTTGTATGTATGTAGTAAACAAGATTCTTCGGAGAATGTCAATATGATGTCTTACAAATGAGTATTCAATGTCCCCTATAACTGTGTCTCTTTCTATTTATCAAGGAACATATGCCAAAAAATCCTAATAGTACAGATACAGATAATATCCACTGAAATATTCTTTTTAGAGTCTTATCCTAAAACTAGTCGTTATTAATTTGTTTAAGACAAATGCTTGTCCTCGACTTTGATCTATGTTGACTCCTCGACCCCGTCCTTCATCTTTTGTGAGATCACTTTGACTTTGAACATGCCCTTTGCCGAGGTCATTCTGTGACACGTGGCAGCCCTTGAAGGCTCTCTTAATGTTAATACTCATACAGTTAGTCGCCACAAAAAAAAGCTAACTTTTAGGAAAATACTTCAAATTACTACATTATTCTTTGGAAGGTTTCCTATACTAAACCTAAATATACAAGGAACGAACAACCACAAAATTTTATTATTTATAACATCTTCTTCTTTATTTTCCTTAATAAAATATTTTTGTCCCGTGAAGCTTAAAATTGTTAACACACAATATAAAAAGATTGAGTCGGTTAAGCCGTGAAAGCTTAACTTTTTAATCTTACAGTTAATTTAGATAATTACCACAAGTGTAATTTTTTTTACTTGTTCGGTTGTACCAAATCATTTTTTTTACCATTTAAAACTTAAAATTTTAGAAAAAAACATATCCCTTAACCAATATTAATTCGGGTGCAATGTTATTTTTTTTTAAAATCAATACATGCAACAACAACAACAACAACAACAACCCAGTGTAATCTCACAAGTGGGGTATGGAGAGGGTAATATGTACGCAGACCTTACCTCTACCCGAGGGTCAGAGAGGCTGTTTCCAGGAAACCCTCGGCTCGAAAAGGCAACAAGGNAGGGGCAGAGAGGCTGTTTCTAGGAGACCCTCGGCTCGAAAAGGCAACAAGGGACACTATATTAGTACTATCAATATATTCATAATAAAACAACATAAAATACCATAAAATCCATAACATAACATAAATACCATAAAAACAAAGTAACAGCAATATAAGAGATATAGAAAATACGAGAAAGATGTAAGGTATTAATACACAGAAGATAAAACCCATCATCAATAGTTGATCAATGGCATTCTAAGAATAATTCCTAACTGGCTAGTATCACTCTATCAATACATGCGACTAAATATTTTTTTAGCCCTATATATAGAGTTATAGACCCAAAGCAAATAGAATTCCACTACTTTTTCTCTCTCTATCGTCTGCTTTGTTTCTCTCGCTTTAACAATCCTAGGGTTTGCGTTTTTGTTTGCTCTGTTCAATCGAACCATGTCTACTTCAAAAATGATTGTGTTGAAGAGTTCCGACGGCGAAACTTTCGAGGTGGAAGAGGCGGTGGCGTTGGAATCACAGACCATAAAACACATGATCGAAGACGATTGTGCTGATACTAGTATCCCTCTCCCTAATGTTACGAGCAAGATCTTGGCTAAGGTTATTGAGTACTGTAAGCGCCACGTCGATGCTGTTGCTAAGACGGATGATAAAGCATCTGAGGATGATTTAAAAAGCTTTGATGCTGACTTTGTCAAAGTTGATCAGGCTACTCTCTTTGATCTTATCTTGGTATAAACATTTTTAACTTTTTTTTTTGTAATGATTGTGTTTGTTATAAATCGTTTTTCTTGCTTTTGTTGTCCTGATTTGACTTATTAGTTGTAGTACTTTATTTGCCTGATTTTATGTTTAGGGTTTTTTCCGTTGTTATATGTTTATGTGCTGCTTTATAATTTCTGCTTCTATTGGTTGTTGTCTTGGGTTATTGCTGTTATTTGATGGGCTAATTATTGGTCCCTATGTCCCAATTTGTTGGAAACATTTCGGATTTTGAGCATCAAAATTTTCAATTTTTACCACAAATTTGGGCATAGAATCTTTAGTTTGCTTGAAACTTCACCAAATATACTAAGTCATACAATAATTAATAATTAAAGTATTTAAAAGGCATATGAAAAAATCGTGCTCAAAGAAAATTCATTTTGCTCTCAAAATTCAAAATGCATAAAACAAATTGGAATGGAGTGAGTATGAAATAGCTGTGGAGTAACTTGGTCATTTTGATGTTAAACATTGACTCAACTACATGTGTTGAAACAGAACCTATAATTAATCAAATGTTTTGGCATTGTAAAGCTGTACATAAAGTACAGGGGTAATCATAGGTCTCCCACAAAGTTTAGTTGTGTACTTATTTGTGTATTATCCTTTCTTTTTCTGTACGTCTTATTTCCATTGTTATGCATTCGGGGCATTTTGAACCCCATTCAGTGGCTGATTATGTATCTTGTTATCTAGTGTTAATCTAGTACTGTCATATTTTTTACATCCCAAATTTTTTGACTCTCGTCATTTTTCTTTACCACTTTCATAATTATTAAAAATCAAAATTCAAACTATTCAAATCTTAAAGTTTGATGTGTTTTTTACACTGTCAGACTAGCTTTTTAACAATTAGTTTATATATTCTTCCACTTTCACTAACATTTCCTTTTTGATATGTAAGTTAAATTAAATTCTCAAACAATGAGATGGAAGAGCTGCATATGAATTGGTCTGGAGCCCTGATTCGTCTAAGTTGGTCGTTTGAATCCTTTGTTTTTTTCTTGTTTCTTTGGGCCGGTGCATGGACCTTCTATATTATCTACCTAGCATTTGTTCTTTGAGTTTGATAACCTTTTGCAGAGGTTTAATAAGCACTGCCTTTGTAAATTTCAGGCTGCTAACTATTTGAACATCAAGAGTCTGCTTGATCTCACTTGTCAGACTGTGGCAGACATGATCAAGGGGAAAACTCCGGAGGAGATCCGCAAGACCTTCAACATCAAGAATGACTTCACACCTGAGGAAGAGGAGGAAGTTAGGAGGGAGAATGCCTGGGCCTTTGAGTGAATCTGATGTCTATTAAGTTTCCATATTCTGGTGATAGATTTGAATATATTAGTAGATGCTATTAAGAATCTCGTATATTAGTAATAGATATGTCGTGCTGTTTGTTTGGTACTTTTTAACTTCGTTGTTCAACCAAGACAGTTGACCTCGTTTTGCTATATATATTTACTTGGTTTATCTTTAGAGTATTAGATAGTTTCAAAATTGAAATGCTGTTGAATCGTGTTAAATCTGTTACATCTTTGTTGATATATTGTTGGTTGTTTGTTCTTATAGCCTGTTTGGCCAAGCTTCTAAGATCAGCTTATTTTGAGAAATGTTTTTCTCAAAAGTACTTTTCAAAAAGGTGTTTTTGGTGAGAAGCAGTTTGGCTAATTAATTTGAAAAGCACTTTTGAGCCGTAATTAGTGTTTGGCCAAATTTTTGAAAACTGTTTCTAAGTGTATTTTTCTTAAAAGTGCTTTTCAGAAGTGTTTTGGGGGATAAGCTACTTTTTTCTACTTGCTTCTCCCCAAAAACATTTTTTTTCTTCTTCTAAAAGCTTGGCAAAACACTTCAATTTTTGTCCTAAAAGCACATTTGGCCTAAAAAAAGCATGGCCAAAAGCACTATTAGTGTTATTGTTTTAAGTGGTGCTTTGGCTGGTGGGTTATTATCTCGGAAACAGGAGGCATTTGGTCCTTAAAGTGGTAAAATGTGCTTGAGGATGGTTTGGTTTATAAGATTCTTTTGAGCTTGAATTTTGAAGGTGCAATTGTTGTTTGCATTTAAGAGATTGATCTCAAAATCATACTTTAATTTAGTGGGGTTGGATATGACTTATAGAATAGATCCTTGATAAAAAAATAGCTATGAGACGGTTGATTGAGCCTGTTGTTGTTGGGTGCTTGTTTTTATGACATTGTAGTTAATTGTTTACTTGGGAGATATTATCGTGACTGCTTATACTTTATAAGTTGGATGATTTCGAAAAAAATGTAGCATGCTTGATGAATGTTATCATTGGTAGCTGAAGTTAAGGAGGACAGGATTGGTTATACAACTTTTTGATCTTTAAGGTTACCCACAATAAAGTGTTTGATGGCATGATTATTTGGAGTGGCAGACACCCAGCATGTAGTTTAAGGTTCAAAGTGCTTGTTCTTTTGCAGGTATAAGATTTAAAAGTGATGCAACTTCTGTTCTTTCTGTGAAAATTATTGAGGAAACAAACTCCTTATGGGAAAATAAGGAAAGTTGGTAAATCTGAGTCTATCAACTGTGTTTTGATTTGACCAGATTAAGATCCAACTTTTTGAATTGAGTAGTTTGAGAAACAACCAGATTGAGAGCCGATTATGTTTTTTTTTTCTTTTTTCTTTTGGGGGCAAGAGAGGAAATCTGCAGCCGTTACAATCTCTGCCACAACCTTTGCTCTTCGGGTGAGCGCTTTGCAGTGAGCACTTTGTCCGCACTGGGTAAACCTTCCCCTGTGTATTAGCCTGCAAACCATACAAGGGATGTAGACGCATGCAAGCCCCGTGCAACACTGAATAAACCTTCCCCTATATAATAGCCTGCAAACCACACAGGGGATGTAAACTGCATTAGGCAAGCCCGTGCGACTGTCAACCCGAAGGGTTTATTATGGTTTCTTTTGTTAAGTTTGGAATCATCTAATATTCTTGGAAGTTGCTAATGATCCCTCCATTCTCTTTTCAATTTTGGCACTCATTTCCACACTATTCTTTTACGTTACATTTGCAATTTGAAATAGAAATTTAATCACAAGATTACATGCACAAAATCACAAACAAACGCATGAAAGGAGCAACTATGATGTTCAGTGTTATTATTCCATTTCACTTTTATCTGGCCAATTTGACTTTTTCTATAGAGCAATCTATGACTACATTGAGGCAATATTCTACACAAATAAAATAAAGATTTGAAACTACATAACCTCTATAACTTGTCAATTAACTTATCAGAAAATGAAAAGGTATATTGAATCTCCCATAAGTCTAAACTTTAGGTGGATACGTGAACACCACCATTACAAGAAAAATCTTGAATACTTAATCAAGTTACAAGATAAGCACTAATCTTGTTTTAAAATAATACTTAGACGCAAAGTGAAACAGAAAAGTAACAAACATTTTTTATTTCAATTTAATTCAAGACCGATCCATTATCCAGACAAGGTAAGAAATAATTCTACAAAGATATGATATACCTATGTTGTATTAATCTCTTATGAGAATGCCCATATAAGTAAACATAACAAAAAGGCAGTCCGGTGTACTAAGTTGCTATGTGCGGGGTCCGGCAAAAGACTATTTTCACGGCTCGAACCCATAACCTCCTGATCAAATGGCAGCAACTTTACCGGTTACGCCAAGGCTCCCTTCCTTATAAGTTACATAACATTTGTAATATTTCGACTATAAAAGAAGGAACAAAAAATAACCTTTTAAACTCAATCTTTCTGCATTGTTTTTGATATACTTTATTTTTTTTTTAACAGAAAGCGAAAGGTGGTTGTTTAAAAGCTACAAAGAAAACCCGGGAAATTGGATAACCGATTGAGTAGTGAATGGTCCAAGTGTGATAACAGGTCGTTAATACTCCGGTATATGCTTTTATTCTCCCTCTCATTCTTCCCCTTTATCTTCACAGCTAGCTCCTTCACTCTGTTGTTCTGTATTTGCTATCTTAACAATGGCAACAATGGCGGAAGATCATCCATTGTTGCCGAATCGCGCCATGGAAATAGAACAAACGGAGAGTGGAGGCGAAGCAGCAGCGGCAACAAAGAAGAAAAAAGCTAAACCTGCTCGTGTTGCTTCCCTCGATGTATTTCGTGGCGTCTGCGTTTTGGTAAAAGCTTTTCGTTGCCTTATTCTCAATGAGTTTAGAAAAAAATAGTTATAACTTGAAGCATGTTCTGTCTAAAAGTTTAGGTGAGATGGTCAAGCAAAGCATGCAACAGGTCATCTAACTTCTTTCTCGCTTTGATACTTTCTTCTGCATGTTTTTCTTTGTGTTTTGAAATTTTTTAATCGTAAAGGTTCGAGTGTATTTTTGTGGAAGTGCTATTCTTGATGTATTTTGGGTTTTCGAAAGTATCGAGGCATTGAAGGGGAGCCTTGGCGTAACTGGTAAAGTTATTGCTAGGTGACCAGGAGGTCACTGGTTTGAATTATGGAAATAGCCTCTTGCAAATATGCAAGATAAGGCTCGTACAATAGAGCTTTGTGGTCCGGCCCTTTCCCGGACCCCGCGCATAGCTGGAGCTTAGTGCATATCGAGGCATTAAATGTTATGCTTCCCTTTCCCCCGTTTGTGTTTGCTGCCAGAATATTATAGAGAAAATGAATGAAGAATCAAAGGTTTTAGTTTACATTTATAATGTTTATATTTTTCCTTCAGACTTTTCTTTTCCTTTAGCTTTCTACTTTTCTGTGAACAAAAAATAGATTTGTATCACTCAGTTGAATATAATTTCCTAGAGATAATGTTTTGTGGAGATTCCCTGAAATCTCCCCATATCTATTACTCCAATTGAATGTTGATACAAAAGGAAAAGTATTCAAAAGAAATCTTGATAATGCAAATATAGAGGCAGTGATTGAGTGGAATCTATGTTTATTTTTGATGACCATATTCCTTGTTCAAGAGGTGATTTGTTCCGCTTTTAGATGCTGTGTTGCTGATACTGTAATCTCTATCCTTTATTAGGGTTAATTTTCACTATATAATCAACTTTTTTGACTTTAATTTGTTCACTGATTTCAGCTTATGATGCTTGTGGACTATGGTGGCTCTATTTTCCCAAGTATTGCTCATTCACCGTGGAATGGTGTACACTTGGCAGATTTTGTGATGCCATTCTTCCTCTTTATTTCTGGAGTTTCCCTTGCAATAGCATATAAGGTATCTACTCTCAGATTTCATATTAGACATACCTATAATCTGCTTGTTCTACTATAGGCTTAATGTGTAGTTTTCATTATTAAAAAAGGCTTATAATGCATAGCCGTTAGACTTGATAAGTGATGTGCCATTTTATGTATAGTCAACCATCACTCTGCACACTTAGTAAACTCTTTTCCTATTTCCGAAATTGCAGAAAGTTTTAGACAGAAAAGGAGCAACTTTAAAAGCTGTGTTTAGGACATTGAAACTCCTCCTCCTTGGTGTTTTTCTACAAGGTAATCGTATCAACCGTAGCTAATGCCATTTTCCACTTATGATCTCAACTTGTTTAAAACTTTCTGCAACTACAGTCTTGTAATGTATTTTGGAAAGGATCTTTGTACACCCCCTATATTACAGAAAATAAATGTGTTATTTTGGGGCACAACTAGGTCGAGACTAGGCTTTTACAAGTGAAAGAAGCTCAATAGCGGAAGAATTTGTTTACATCATGAACCTTTCAAGATCAACAGCAAAGAGCATGAACAAGAGAGAGGTTGAGTCAGCTAGACTGTTTAAAGGAAGAACTTCAGCAAACATATTCCTAGTATCCAATAGAATCTTAAATGTTACTAGGGACATGACTAGAATACGTATCATTTTTGGTTTTTCATGAATTAAGTGAAGCTGGATGAGTAGACATCATTCAGCAAAGATCCCTAGCAGTAAAAGGCCTTAGAAATATATGTGTCCTAAAATTCTAACTGCTGGATTCTTTGATTTTCTTTCAGTCTGGTGGCATCTTCTTGTTTTTCTTTCTATACTTATTTTACTGTATTAATTCAGTTGACCAATCATCACTTTGTGGTTACTTTTGTTTCAGGAGGCTACTTGCACGGAATAACGGGGTTGACTTATGGTGTAGATATCGAAAAAATACGATGGCTGGGTATTTTGCAGGTAGTTTGATTTGCATCGCTTAATATTTTTCCATCAGCTTTCTAGAAAGCCATAAATACCTACCATTTGCATATATAGTGCCCTAACATGTTCTATAGATTATATTTGTTATGATACATACTATTTCTTTTTCGGTTATACAGAGAATAGCTGTTGGATATATTGTAACAGCTTTGTGCGAGATATGGCTTCCACGTCAAAGGATTAAAAAAAGAAGTCTTTTCAGTAATTACATTTGGCACTGGTAAGATGACTTCGCCTAATTTGACAGTGGAGATTTTATATTGGGAACCTATCATTAGTTGTTATAATATTTCCAGTAGAGACAACT